AAGATACAGAAAAGTTGAACATAATGAAAACTACGAACAACCGAGAACGTTAACGACACGACCACGAAGCTTCATAGATTTTCACACCGCAGCCAAAAACACTCCTGGCTTCGGTAGCCCCGAATTCAACCCGAAACCATGAGCGTGAGGCAGTGAGGATCTGAAGTTCGTCATGAATACTGTACGATCACTAAGTTTAATCATATGCATCATAACATCGTGGAGAATGTTAATTACGTATATGTACAACAATCTCTTCTAATGTAGTTTGCGATGGGCAAAGCCATGATTAATGAATTTCATCATCGTCTTATCATAAAAATAATTTTAAAAATTGTCGTCATTTACTCTTTTTGAAACATTTATAAAAAAAATTGTGGTACCGTGGTAACAAGACCGGTTTCGAACTCTATGAGGGAATGAATTATATCTTACCGGGAAATTCCTTTTGGTAAGGAATTTAGTGGACGTTGGTTCAGTGCAACCAGCTGAAAAACTGCAGCAATCTAGTGTCTTTAGGATGACAGGAGCCGCTTAACATTGCATAATGGTCATACCAAAATGAGTGATGTATACAGCGATGCTGACCCGAGCGACCGCTTCATTTGGTTGCATTTCGCCGTGAACCATTTTAAATAGTGATAATCAGCAAACATTGCGAATCTTAAAAAGATAATACGTTGTAGTTAACAAATCTTTCTTTCCTGAATTTTGCTGCCACATCTCTTGACTGTTTTAAAGTGGTTTATTGAAATCTTCATTCCGGTGAAAGTTGTTTATCTCTACAATTCTATAAGCGTTCCCTTCGCATAGAGAATTCATTCAGCAGTGTCCCAAAGTTTCTGATTGATATGGATAAATTTTCGTGAGACATTATGTAACAATAAGCTATAAAAATGATTCAATACCATGTTCCTTTGCTCTCTGTGTTACGTAGTGCCCCTTGACGATTTATTTAGCACATTCCGAAATATCTGATTTGGTTTAGCAAAATTTATAGGCGGAGTAAACCTTAAAAAGTTTTGGTGATAACGGTTGTTGACATAGTAAATTTAGTTTCTTATGTAGGTGCCCCTAACACGTATGCACAAATATCTATGCTTTTCAACATGGATTCTCTAAAGTTTTTAGCCCTGGAAATAAACGATATTTATTAAAGAGTGGTTGAATATCTTGTTACGGGCAGAGAAATATATGTTTATGTCTCAGTAGTACTTTCACAAAAAATCAAAGTATCTTTCAGCAGAAGATTCAGGCAAGGGATACATTGGACTTCATAAAAGTTTGATGCTTTAAATAATTGCATTTTCCCTAATTATGGAATTATTTAAAGATAATTCAAGGGGAGCACCAATACTATAAATCCGAAGCAAGAACTGCAACATTCTGGAAAACTACCAACAGAAAAGTCCAAGTCTGCTTAGTTTCCATATTTCAGGTTCTTAGCTTAACCATCTGGAAAGTAGTTTGGCTAATAATTTGTCAGATTCAAAAGAAGGAATAAAAAACTACGAAAAAGGACCAAAGAAAAAACCTTTGTCAGTCAGTTGTTAGCTCCGATGACTGCTTATCTTCCCGGCTCATGGAAGCAACAGCGTTTAGCGGTGTCTCTTGCGTTCTGTGCCTGCGTCTGCGCTTCCATAGAAGAAAACCTTAATTCCTAGAGGACTTCATAAAATTACTTCTTCCAGTTCATTTTCGGCTATATCCGTTTGACCAGTCGGGCGAGCAAATAGAACATGTTTAGCCCCTGGCTTACATAATTCATTTACAAAACGTGTTCACAAACCATCGTAGCTGTATACCAGTTCATTCCTCGTATTCTGTCTTGTCTTTATCGCACCGCGCGATAGTAGAGAATGATCTCAGCAAGTCAGCTTCACCTGTCACTACCCGTAATTGCATTGTTTTCAATCATAGCCCAGATAAAATTGCAAGACAATGAAAGGAATGATTTCACTCTTTTTCGGGCACGGGAGTCCTTAATAGATGTTGCGATTAATAAAAGGAGGTTGGTCATGCTAGACAAGCAGGTTGAGAATACAGACTAGCTCTAGCTCGTAAGCTTTTCATGTGGGAGCCGATGCATGGCAGACCACCACTACGAAACTATCATATAACATGGAGGAACATGACAGAGGGTGGTCTGCCTTTTGAGAGGAATATTTGCTTTTACGTTGCGGTAACCGACTCTTTAAAATTCAAGTTGCAAAAGTGTTGAAATGCTTCAGATACAGCAGGCATCACAGAGCAGAGTTCTTTTAATTCAAACAGTTTATGGTAGTGATATGACCAAACACAAACAAAAGACATGACTACAGGTGAGCATGGAGATCAGCATCGATTTGAATACGGACAGCTATACCATTAAGCTCAGCTTTGCGTGAGTCACAACACTAAGATAGTTAACGTTAAATGAGTCTGGTCACCCCGCTCCACCAAACGATCTGCTCCCGTTTTCCATCACCAGGAAGCACGATCTCGAGGTACGTGAACTTCATCTATTCCATTGTTCCTCCGCTCAACTGCAGAGTGCAGCTGTCATGGAATAGGGAATGTAATAGGCCGTTTGTTTTAGACAAATTCATGGGCAGACCGGTTACATTACACTCAGGTGTTACTGTGTTCAGTTTGGATGCGATATGATTAGTTTCTGAAATTACCAACAAATTACAGTCGTCTTAAATCAGCAAATTTTTTTGTCTCGAAATCTGTCATTCTGACGCACTTTGCACCCATGCTGCTCTATAACTGTCCGTGTGCTATGCAAACAGGAGAAAGGGCAGAATGCATTCTTGGGGCAGAAAAGTACCAACATTGGAAGAACTCGACATGGCGTCTCAACGTAAAACAGAACTTCATAGTATTATGCATAAATTGAAGCAAAAGGAAAGCAAGACAAATGTCATTAAACTGAACTGCGGCATAACTGCTGGAGGAACAATGTATTCATCGTGCTATAGTCAGCCGTGCAACAGAAGAAGAAAATCGTGGAAGTTACCTCTTGCCTTGATTGTGAAAACTTTCAGAATTTTCATTCACGTACAGTCAAATTTCTCGGATTTTCGTTTGAACTCAGTTAGTAGATGATGAGTGACATTATGACGTTTTTGTCGACTCTGTTAATACAGCATATATGTTCCAGCATCTTGTTTATGGTTTCATGTTCACTGTGGTTTTTCAATAACCTATTCTTGCACGTATAATCTAAGCAATAAATGGTTCCCAATCTGTTCTTAGATTGAATTCTTTCTTTCAAATTTAGACTCCTCAATTATTCGACAGACTAATATCCATAAAAATGTTTGATGATTCCACGTAATTTTTTATGTAATTAGAAGCAGCAAGGCGGTCTAGGAAACTTTGTCTCGGGTTTGTTCCACGTTTGCCGTGAGTTCCGCTCGACTTCTGAGTCACTCTACCAAATCTTTTTACAACAGAATATGTTTAATGAACATTTCGTTTCAGTAAGATTATCGGCATCTCGTCTTGCAGCAAAATAAAACTGACTGAGTGCCGTCGGTACCTCGGATTTCACCGATATGACGTCTGGTGCAATCATACGTTCATCGGTACCTGTTTATATGGAAAAACTTATATTATGGCAATAATTTAATTGTTGAATTGTTTACAATCATTTTTTAGGGGGTTCATAATCTAAAAGTCAAGAAATGAAAACTTCCAATGATCTTCCATTTCGCAAGAGAATTAGGTGATTCCAGCATTGGTGTTCAGATGAACTTCAAATTAGTTGACGCTCTCTTTCCAAACCTCCATTCTTCGGCAAATACGAAAAGGGATTTGTAAGCAAACATTTCGTAATAATCGGCTTCTGAAATAAAGATGATTGCAGCATAGGAACAGGTCATCGCAGAGGTGCGTGTTTTCTGCTTAAGCAGAAATTCTGGAACTGGCCATAGTCAAACCATAGACCATTATGATGTCGAATATCCTCTCAACAAATTAAACGGCTGTACTATAGAAAAGACAATCATCTAGCGCTCCTGCCTTTCAGATAACTGTCCTTCAGTCAGCTTTGTGGTTAAGCGCTAAACCATCACTCGTTTCTGGATGCCACATTAAAAGAAAGACGACCGCGTTGAAATAGCATTGCCAGGAGCATACCATACCGACGAATTATAGCGATGCATCATATCAATGTAAGTATAGGATAAACACGAAAATTCTGCCAGTGTTTATCACATCGGTTGAAGCTTAAGTTACAGACATATCTCCACTGCATGTAAATTGAACTTATAAAATCAGCTGAACGACACATCCTATATCTCTCTACCATCGTAATACTTATCCAAAGCCATCAGGGTAATATTTTTTATAAATTCTATGGCGGTTTGTTTGTGATGAAATAATCATTAAATGGCATCTTAAATAGTGCAAGGATGCTACAGCTTTTCGTAGCCGCGCATGATTTAAAATCAGTCATTAACTCTATAGGCAAAACGGCGGTTATTGATAGAATTTAATTTTTATAGATAGCGTTTGGTTAAATACAAGGCGAATTGTTGAATATTACTTAAATTCATATTCACCCATAGCACTAACAGATACCATTATGTTAGTTATTATGTTAGTTAGTTTTGTAGTACTGAAACGGCCGCTATAACCAATGACAAATGCAGCAATCATTTCCGCAAACTGTGAACAAAATAAATGACAGGATGATAGTAGTAATAATAGTACCTT